AGCTGCCACTCCTACATCAAAATGCAACCAATGGTCAGAAGATGATTTGGCAACCAAAGTGTGTTATGAAGCACTTATAATAATTACCGGAGTAAGCAGATACATTCAGGTACCTTACTAAGGCAGGTGATGTGGACGCAAGTCCATTAAAACGTGTAAACGCAAACAAAATAACTTACAGATAATTACGGCTTCCGTTCACATGAGATTCGTGTGAAAAGTCTCCAGGATGGAGTTTTGTAAACGGAGAATATCTTCTCGTGTGGACACACAGCTGTAAACGCTGAAGTTTGCATGTGCTCATAAACTTAAAGATATTGTGTGGACATTGCCTCAGACAGTCAGTAATAATTCTTAGATAATTGTCATTCAAGAGGAACATTTTGTATAAAGACGCTTTATTTTCAAACAGTACATTTATTTTAAATTGATATTCTCGAAGAGTACATCTTAGCTAGCTTTCAAGCAGCATCGTTGATGAAATAATGAATATGAATCACGTCCTTCTTCTTAAATCGCTGCAAAATTATTATAAACCTTAGCTCGCTATCGAGGTGATGTTACCAAGAACGGAACAGAAAGAGGTGTGGAAGGAACCCACTTGAATCACTTTATTTCGACATTCATTACTAGTTTTGGTGAATTGAGGCGTTTTTGGTATTTCTGTTATTTTTAATTTTCCATTTTATATTTTAATCATTACTTTGGTTGTTGGGTGTCCCCAATTAGTTTACGTCTGTCAACTAGAACAACATTAAACTTAATAATTCTTATTGGATATTTATCGTACAAAGCCAACTTGACAATTAACCTTCAACGAATATTGTTTTTTTATTATTAAATTTTATTCATCTAAAGCTTTTAAAATGCTATACTGAAATTAACTTATAGAACACGCTCAAGTAATGAAGTATGCCACTATGCCTTATAGTTTGTATTCTTTTAAGGAAAAATGAGAACTATATACCGTAAATAAATTCCGAAAATAAGCCCGGGGCTTATATTTTTCAAAGGCCCTTTTTGAGGGGCTTATGTACGGAGGGAAATTTGCGTTTCAAAATCGATTGGGCTAGCCTTATAGTTGGAAGGAAATTTACCGTTTTTGCTTTGTTTTACTTTGTAAAGTTGAGGGCAATATCCTAGTACAAGCCCCCGGGGGCTTATATTTGGAGGGGCGATTTAACGGAGGCTTTTTTGCGTTACTTGTTTGGGGGCTTATGTTTGGCGGGGCTTATACATGGAGGGGCTTATTTTTGGAATTTTATGGTATATTATGAAAATAAACTATCAAGATTCCATCTAGACTGAAGGAACCTGTCATCCTTAATACGTCAAGATACCTGCAGTCTTTCAATCATTAGCATAATATACATCAAATTAGGAAATTGTTAATATTCTTAAAAGCAGTGACATCTGGGAGTTTGTAGGCTAGTGAAGGACGAAGCGAACAAAAATGGCTTACTCGGACAAGAATCTCTCCTATAAAAGTTTTTTTGTTCATTTTATGGTTTTTATGTCTCTTCGTCAAAATTTGGCATCTTCAGGTGAGATGACTGGTGAATTCTGACCATTCTAGTAATATTCAGTCAGTTTCTTAAGTATATTGGCCTACATTAATTAACTGTAGTTATCTACCACTTTTTGCAAATTCTTGAAATATCATAGACTGTATATAGTACTTTTAATAAAAACCCTAAACTTTCGAGGCCCAGAAATTGAAAGTAAAATTTAACCTTACACCAACAAAACGAAGCTAGTGCGTGCGAGTGTGTGCGCAAGTGGGGTGTTTTCTGTTTCACAATTTGGTTTGTCGTGTTCCGAAACATGCATTTATGTTTTTTAGAATGTTCCTTTTCGTGTTGTCACGGTAAAGTTGTCGAGTCTCAGATCGGCTCCTGCAGCAGGTTCTTTCATCGAGAAATAAAGGTACCGAGCTCCACTGAAAGGCACCAAGAGTGACACTCCAAAGTTGCCGCCATCTGTCATAGATATTCGGTGAAACTAGGTCAGGTACAAGGTAGTGAAGAGAATGAATGAATGAACGAATGAATGATGCAATCACTGTGCTCATTTCCACGATATACAATGCTTAAGAATACGGCTATTTGGGAGACTTTCCATAAAGCCAGCGTTATAACCGACTTTGACTCTTTTTGTTTATCAACCCCCCTTCCTGAAAAATGCCTTTGAATACTTTTCTACTTTACCCTCCGGGGAAAGTAGACTTAATTTGGCTTTGTGCTGTTCAAGACCTTGGTGATTAAACTCAAGTTGACTGAGTTTTACAAAACAATATATTGACTTAACTCGTGGAGTAGAAGTGTTATGAAAAAATTGGAAGATACTGTGCATGCAGCTCTTTAAACCACTGAGGAAGAGGGATCTCCCTCGAAACGTCTGGATTTTTGTACCGTTTCAACGCACATTTTGATAAACTTTGTAAAAATCACCGAAAGGAAGCCTATTTTCGGCCTTTGTTCCTACTGTTATTCTCAGTAAAAGATGCACATTTAAAAAGGACGTTTGACGTCGTGAGGTTTAGCGCTCATGCCAGAAAAAGCCGTACAACTCAGCGGCACCCAACGACTGTTTTCTTTAAAATATCTGTTCGGAGAAGCAAATATTGCCTAGAATTTCCTATTACTTGACGACGCCTGAAAATTTCTAGATGACCGTTCCATTCATGTAAAATTTTCGAAGTTTATCTAATAAATTCCCTACGATTTGATGAAGCTTAATTTTCCCATTTTACTTCCCAAGTTATGCTATTTTTCATAGAAAAAGGGAAACCTAAAATTTTCGGATTAAAACTGGAGAGAGGAATTAGAAAATGTCTCACTTTCGTAATGCGTCAAATTTCACTGATCTAAAATTTTCGGGAAATAATACTGATCAGAAGCCCTTGTAATTTCGAAAAGACTCAAGTTGCCCTAGGATGACCGAACAGATACAAATTTTACACTGCCGCTTAGAATGCTTTTCTAGAGATCTAAAAGTACTCTAGATAGCCTAAAAAGTGTTGTCAATGTATTTAGGAGGAAACCGTCGTTGGGTTCCCCTGACAACTACAGAACATGAAAACATTTTGATAATATTGACGAATCATTTTTGACAAGAGACTTTGTCTGATCAGACTAATTGTAGTGTATTGAATTCCGAATCAAGCCACCCGAACTGAGACTGGGTCTAGTTCTTTTCTCTATCAATCGTGACTGTCACCAGTCTGTTTACCATAAGTCTTTCACTGATACTATTCTTTACTTCGTTCAAATCGCATTCAATTATATTACTAGTATGCAGTACATTCCCTCCTTTCTTAGAGATGAAAAGCTGGGGCGAATGAATCATTTTTAGACTAAGAGTTCTCGTGTGAAAAAATAACGACCTTTAATTAAGTTGTTAATACTCAGAAAAGACAATTACCGTATTTATTCGATTAACCGCCCTGGGCGCTTATTAAATTTTTGGACCTTGAGAGTGGGCGCTTATTCGAGGCTGGGCGCTTATTAACTTTTTCTGCCTTTAGGATGGGCGCTTATTCGAGGTGGGCGCTAATTCGAGGTTGGGCGCTTATTCGAATAAATACGGTAATAATTAATGACAAGAATTGCAGACCTGTTTGCTACTGGGTCAGTAAGATGTCATTAACGTCAAGACACAAGCAATATGTCTTCTGAACAATACTTTATAACTGAGTTAATAACGTGTTGGATAAAACGGCAGGCAAGATGAAAATTTGGCTAAACAAGAACGCTCTTACAGCCGCGGCTAGTCTACTTGCTTGGCGGAGATTAGATCTAGAAATGAGGAGGCGATTAGTCCTACACGAAACAGGATTTACTCGCTAAAGGTTTTTTACTTCCTACTTTATCGAGGTCGAGTATTCTTCAGGATATTTACTTTTTATTTGTGTCTGAATTGATTTAGTACCCGTTCTAGCAACGACTGCTGTACGCGTGTATAAATACATGAAAATTCATGGGCCTCGATTGTCATTACAAGACCATTTGCATACAATGAAAGTTTACAACACTCGACCATCGCAGTTTTGCTAATTAAGATTCTTATTTTTTTTTCGACCACTCGGTAGTGTTCACTTGTTCCAAAGTAATCAACTCTTTCAAGCGATGGAATTCTTGGACCGACACGTTTCGGAAAAGCTCTAAATTTAATCTTTCCTAAGCATTCTTGGCAAAACATGCGTGGCTTCGGTCACGCAACGATTCTTATTCCCAGTTTCCAGGGTCTCCGCTACGAACGCTTGGCACAATGACCTCCCTTTTGTGTCATAAATACGAAGAAAACCGCCTGGAAGATTATGAGTCTCGCTGCTTACGCAAGCGAGACTAATCAAACCCAGGATTTTTTCTGTCCCAGTTATTGTGCAACTCTTACGGGCTGTTTACGTGAAGGGGGGAATATCCTAGAAGGCGGATCATCCTAGCGCCATATGTTTTCTGCAGTCGGGTTTCATACAGAAGGTGGTAGTTCTCCTTAGTGCTAGGATCTTCCTAGTTGGAGGATCTAAGGTAGGAAGATCCTGGCACCATGTAAACTGTCTTTGCTAGGAAGATCTTAGTACTGAGGACAAACTAAACAAAAGTGGCAGCGCTTGTTCAGTGCATGGCTAATCCATATCACGGCAATAAAGGCCGACATTTTTGTGATTGCGTTACCGCGAGCTGATTGTGTTAACTCTGCTGAAAGGTAGTTATCAACGCAAGTGAAGACGGCAGAAGGGTCCAAATAGCTTGTTTTTGTCGCCCGCTATTTTGAATTCCTTCTCGCAGTTCTAGATCCTTCTCCACTTGGTACCAGACGGACCGAAATTTCTGCATGTAAACCCAACGAAAAGTCGTTCCCCCTTCTAGGATCTTTCTGGTACTAGGATCTTCTTCCTTCCATGTAATTAATCAGTCCCTTGAAAAAAGAATGATACTTATTAATATAAATGATAATTTCTATGTCCACAAGAGGTTGAACTTTAAGTTTTTCTAATCATGCCAGCTGAGGAGGGCCGCATCATAGTGTTTAAAGAACCTGTACCAAACAAAGTCATGACAGGTCACGTGATCAGAAGTGAAACCGCACCCAATGAAGGGAGCTGTCGAGTGAAGTGTTATATGGAGCCCAATTGTGTGTCCATCAATATGGGACCATTGACAGGAGGAAAGATCAAATGCGAATTGAATAACGCCACTGCAGAAAACGAATTTGTGTATGATCTAAGGACCAAAGATGCTCACACTTATCTGGCCATCGAGGTAAGCACTTTTGTTTGGAACTCATCTTAGATACAGAATCTCTAGAGACCTCGGTGACGAGGCTGTTTATATAGGTTAATGGGGGCTGACGTTTAGTTTACAAGAAGATCTAACGTCAAATTTTTATTGCGCCTCTAGCGTTTCCGGTTGAAATATTGCGCGAAAGTTGGGGCGAGAGTAAAATAAATGCTCTCGTCCCAGCTTTTCTCGACGAGCTCAAGTGGAAACGCTTGCTACACAGCCTGCTACTGGAACTTAGCGAGTTTGATATCAAGATCGCTTAAATGGTTCGTTCAAGACGTTTTTGAACAAACAAACGACAATAAGCCTGTGGTTATAGGAGCATTTTAAGCGTGAAAGTACCAGCGAATTAATATTCAAATCATTCAAAGTCTTGTTTATATATTTCTTAAAGTGAGCTTCTCAATGGGGTGATGGCATTAGGCTACCTTAATACCTTACTTTTTTGCGGCTAACGCTGTAACAATTTCTCCCAGAAACGGGATTAATAAATAAAGAAGTTTTCGTCTAGGAAAGGCAAATTATTTGCGGTATGAAAAAAGATATACGGAAATTTATCAACAGCGAGACAAGGCACACAAACGGCTTTCACGATTTTTACGACTAAGAAATCAAACATTCTACATCGGACATCTTACATTACACCTGTTGACTCTAATGACTGAAGTTTTGACTTCCGGCGATCGGTTTGTCCATTCTTAAGCCCTCTAATATACTTATAATCTGGTAGTTGTTTTTGATTGCTGCTCCTTATTCCAGAATCCCTGCAGCAGTAGTCCATGTCTAAACAACGGGACATGTCAAGCTGGATTCACCAGTAAAGGGTTCCGTTGTATATGTCTTCCGGGATTCCCAGGAACAAACTGTCGTGCAGGTACGTACACGCAACAAGTTTTATTGCACAGTTGGCTTAAACCATGCATTTAAAGAGAGATCAGCATTAGGGCCGTGGGAAGAGTGAGGCATTTTTTCGAGGAATGCGCAGAAGGCTAACATTCGCTTTCTCTTCTTCCCATCGTCTTTTTCTTTTCTTTCTTTCTTTCTTTCTTTCTTTTATTGGACATTCTACGTCTTCTACTAGACTTCATTTCAGTGGAAAACGATTGGCGCGAAAGTCCCGAAGATCAAGAACTTTTTTTGAAAGGGAGTACGGCTCTGGTAGTGTCAACAAAGAAGATTTTCAAAGGAATTTTCTGGTCAACTGTGGACGTTTTTGCGTATTCCTCTGTCATGTTTAACTGAATCGTGCACATTTAGGTATGGTTCGAACAATCTCTCTTTCTTATACAATACATGTCAGCGGTCAAAACTGTCTAATTGAACCTTAAAATTGATGGCGTCACAAGTGGTACAATGGACGATGATATGCACCGTCGGTAATGGGTGGCTCGAGTGTGAATGGGTTAAAGCAGTGTAAAACTGATGAAGCCACATGCACACCAAGGAAGTGCAAGTAGTCGTCAGTTAGTTCCTGGGGAATATCTTAAGAGTTTTGATTATAACTAATCTTGGTTATTTTCAATCACTGTGTTTAGCCAAATCATGTAGTGACCTAAAGAAGATTGAGCCTAGAGCAGAAAGTGGAAGCTACGTCATTGACCCTGATGGAGAAGGTGGCTTGTATGACGTCATCTGTGACATGAACGACAAGAATGGTGTTGGCGTGACAGTCATCAGTCACGACAGTGAAAACAGGACATTGGTAAATGGTAAGGAAGCTCCAGGCAGCTACTCACGTGACATCCATTACACAGGAGCGAGTCTGTCTCAGCTAGCGAGTCTCACCAGAGTCTCCCTGCGCTGTGAGCAGTTTATCAAGTATGAGTGTTATCATTCGAGGTTATTGCGTTCCAATGGAAACGGTCCATTCGGATGGTGGGTGTCACGTGATGGCGATAAGATGACGTACTGGAGCGGAGCAACTAAAAATGGCAAATGCGCCTGTGGAGTGAACAATACATGTGCAGACTCCAACCGTGGTTGTAATTGCGATAAAAATGACCACAAGTGGCGTGAAGACAGTGGTTTCCTCACTAACAAAACAAAGCTTCCAGTCAAGCAGCTCAGGTTTGGAGACACTGGACATACAAAAGAACAAGGTTACCATACTCTGGGGAAATTAAAATGTTATGATATCGCCTGATAAAGCAAACTGTACTCAGATAATACAAATCAACTAATTGTATTTTCTGTATCATTTTCGTATGGACAATCAATTGACCTACCCTGCAAACATTTCCTATACCTCCTTATTGAACTTGTCAAACCGTTGACACGAAAAACAAAAAGTTGGATTGGCTATAAGGGTGACCCGCCTAGCTAGGTAACCCTTTTTGGATAGTGGGGTCACCTTCCTAGTCGGGCCAACTTTTTTCTACACAATAACTTTGGCTCGTCCAGCCGGATCAACTTGGTCAAGGTGAGACCTGATCAGAGTACTAGTGCCGAGACAATCAGAGCATGCGCGAATGCTGTTGGCTCGGGCAAAAGGTTGGCAAAGAGGTCGACATTTTTTTCTCATATACAGCTATTTCGAGGAAGGTTGTCGGAAAAACTGTGCACGTGACAATCCCAAAAGGTAATATGGGATATGATCAATGCACTTTTCCTGACACTGTAGCTGTCGAATCTACTTTTGTTACTTTCCTTTAGCACTCCCAAACATACGTCTTTGTCCTCTCGTGCCACACAGTGAAAAAAACAGTGAACTCGAAATCGCCCACAATACCTTTCGGGATTGTCGCGCGCACGTTTTCCAACAACCTTTCTTGAAATCATAGCTGTAAACGCTCGCTAACGGTTGACTCGGCTGGGAAGGTTACCCTCTTTCCCGCGACAGCTTTTCTCCGCATAAACGGAACCCGAAGTCAGATGCAAGTTAAGACAAAGAGATGATCGGAATGGACTTTTAAAGATGTTCCCCTGAATGGAAGTCAGGCCACAGTGTGTTCCCGAAAGTGTTTTTACAAGGCCAGAATTGAGCGTATTCTGAGTAAATTAAATGACAATGATTAAAAGGTAAATAACTAACACAAATATGTATAAATGGAAAGCTATAAACGAATAACCTATATAAAGAGACACTGTGAAGAAAAAATGACTAATTACAGAGTTTTTATAAATAATTCTCAGAGGAATGTTTGCGAAGCGTGTTTTTGAGTGAGGAGGGAGAAGGAGAATCTTTCTCATTTCCTAAGAGAGATGGTCCTTGGAAACTCACAGAACTTCGAAGATTGCTTCCGAGGAAGATGAAAGTCATTCGCGTATTTAGTACCTGTTTTTGAAAAACAAATCTAGCTCTTCGCTAGTTATTTTAACTTGTTAGAATTTCTTGACACATATATATGTACTATTTTACAACTTGGTTATTAGTTTAAGTTCTTGGCTTACGGGAATGCGAAAAACATTTATCATTTATTACATTTGTAGCATATTTATAAGAATTCGCTACCTACAGTCAGTGAAAGTTTGGACGACAGGCCAGTCTCATTAAAATTAAAGGCATTAAACAAACAAACTCGTAGTTGAGCCTCGATATGTTATGCTGGGCAGTGGATTTTAATTTTTAATTTCCAAAAAGAACTTTTTTTGGCGCAATGCTATGGCATTTTCTCTCTTGAAAAAAAGCTCGCTTAGCAAAGCTTGCCCTGTTCTTGACAGTTACAAACATAATTCTTATATCCTGCCAAGAGAGAATGATCCTGCGCATGTGTTGCTCATTCCGCATACGCCCTTACCACTGCGGGGAGTAACCCCTCCCGCAAATTGACATTCTAGCCGAGAATTGCGTGACACCGCCATCCAAAGAACTGTCCCTCATTTTTATTTAAGACCGAGCCCTTACATTGATATTTAATAAATTGCTCACTGCAGTGTGACGAGACATTGGTGAGACTCGCCAGGTGAGACAGATTGCATGCCGTTAATTGCTACTTGGGGTCAATTAAATAAAACTTTTACAAGTGTCACTTACAAGGGCAGCCAGTGTCTCAGTCTGAAAAGAATAGCTACACTTGAAAATTGCACTTGTAAAAGTTTTAATAAATTGACCCCTAGAGTTTCATGTCCCCACACCAATGTTCTATTCTCACATTCGTGACAGATGTGTCACGCTAATTCCATCGTATTGTCATTCATCTCACAACTCATGTCATACATAGGAGGCAGGCCTCCCTCAATATGACGGAACTTCCACCCAGCCTCCGCTAATAATGGTTGTTATGGTTGCTTGTAAATGTTGTTATGGTTGCTTGCAAGCGGTCTAATTACTGACCACTGACTACTAAGAACACTTACAAGACCCTCAATTTTAAAGAAATAGTGGATATTACATGGCCGCGCGGAGATACGAAATTTCTCTTCGAGTGTTGAAAAAATATTTCACTCGTTCGCTGCGCTCACTCGTGAAATATTTTTTCAACACGAGAATTATTATCCCCGCAGGGATTTCGCCCAGAGGAGGTCCTCTAGTAACTCGCGCGTATATTAAGGAAAGTACTTACAGTTGAAATATACAGTCATACACTCCGTCAATATAGAAAAAATCTCGATTTGCTTGAACAGGGGCCGCGAGGAATTGGTAGGTTATGATGACGTTTCTATTGTTTGCGCCCGCAAGTACGAAATGGTTAGGATGACGTAAAGACAGAACATCCCAAGGGACCGCTTAGGTAGATTTTGTGACATTTATTGTGCAGCCATACTTCGACACTCTTTTGCGTTACGTGTTATCAGTGACATTCTGTGGAGCAGTTGTTTCAGTGAAAGTTATGAACCAAAATTTTAACGACAGAAGAACTCATAAGGTGCGTATAACTTTGTTTATATAAACACTTGGAGAGTTTGCCAGACACGAGTTCACAAATCTTTCATTGGAAACCTAGCCAGACACTCTTTCTCTCTCTTTGACCGGAATAAGACTCAGCCCCAAACAAGCAAGACGAGTGAACAACGGCTAGCTTCTTACTAGCAGAACGATGGAAGATTACAGAAATTCGCTGACAATCAAATTCTGTGCTGACTTATTCCCTGCTCACAAATGTGCTTCTGCTATAAAGTTTAAAATAAGACTAGAATGCGCGAGTGTGAATTGATCGTCCTTTTAATTTCTAAGGCTTCCATTCCGGAAAACAAAGTGAACTGAATGTAAAAAGTGAAAGAGAAATGGAGAAAAATTCAACTTCTTATTAACTCTTTTCTTATGGTTTAGAATAAACCATTCTCGAAACTGAGAATGTTTTGATCAAAGCTGTGTAAAAAGAACCTGAAACTGTGCATGGAACCTTGCGTTTCCTGTATTTATCTCACTTCTTCATTATGTATCGGTATATTTCAAAGAGCTACACAACGAGCAAGAATGCTATTGACCGACAATATACAGAGCGGGAGCAGCTGTAGTGTCAACTATTACTAGTTATACTAGAAGTAATCGGAGCTAAGAAGAGTGCGTTCGATATGTTTGTTGAGGCGGAAGGGTGGTTGCGATGTAGATAAATATGATTATGGCATATTTTGAACGTAAGGGCTGCGTACAGCGAAACCTCTATTTAAACTGTGTATCATTTTAAGAAAGTTTTCAAAAGATATCGTATGGTTCGGTGTCAAGTGCTTTTAATCGGAAGAGACATTGGCCAGCGTCGGACGTGTAAATGGAACATTTTGTTTTACTGGCGCGAGTTACAGGGCGCAGTTTCTAAAAGGCCGATTAGTTCTTAACCCGGGATTCTTTTTCTTTCTTCAAAAACATTTCGTCGGATAATTTTGTCTGTTATTTTTAACAGCATCCAATCATCAACTTGTTGACAAAATGAATTACATTGAATTTACTGGTTTAAAAGCTTTCACATCTGAATTCAAACTTCGCACTAACCCTATCAAAGCCTTCAATGGAACGTATGTGCGGCTCACGTCAATAACTTTTCCAGTAATTTGGTCGAGCGTGTTGATTTCAGTGACTCGAGAGTGGCGCTACTGTGGGCTGATTTATAAGTTTTTCCTAATAAATAACATACAGTTAAAGTGTTTGTTTGTCCGGTGCCGAAAATATCACAAGTCATGGTCAAATGGCGCCGCCGAGCTTCACATCTCGGTAGATTTACTTTGTGGCACAACGGCCGCCGAGCTACACAACTCGTAAATTTACTTTGTGACAAAACGGCCGCCGAGCTACACAACTCGGTAAATTTACTTTGTGGCATAACGGCCGCCGAACTAAACCCGGTTTGATGCATGCACCAGTAGTCGCAGACATTTTCCAAAGACAGTGACGAAACATGCTGAAAAATATGAAGGCTTAATCCAAAGTAAAATTTAACAGCAAACTCCTGAAAGATGAACGCTTTGGACGATTCAGCAATGACAGATCGATGTACGCTTTACGAAGATTCAGCAAACGTTTTAAAAGATGAACGCTTTATACGAAGAATATCAGACCTTAGCAAACCTTTGAAAGATGAACGCCGAGGACACAAGAATCACCACATGAGTTAGCGTGTCAAAGTGAGGCAAAACTTAAGCAAGCGCCTCAAAGCGAGGCAAATCTGTGTCGAGGACGAACGAAATGGCAAACTCAAAAAAAGCTCCCTTATTAATTGCACAGGTCACTCAATAATGCACAGAACACCCAACACAAATTAGGGGTTGCGTTCTCGTACCTCGAACGCAATAAACACCAATGAAATACCAAACCATTTCACTTTAATAGTTTTTTGGTGTGAAAGGCGCGATTTATTATGTAGCCACAGCAACGGTGATGTTTTCACATGTGAAGATAACTTGTTATTTTCGCATGTAAAGATACCAAGTTTTCGGGCGAAAGCTCACCTGGTACTAAGTTCATTGGTGTTTATATAATAAATATGCTTCTGGAGTTAATTAGTTAATAATGGGAAAAGGCTTTACGAGCACAGGTGGCCCAAGGTTTTATTGGAACCTTTTAGTTCTCCGGCTTTAAAAAGAGAAACTTAAGGATCATGATAGAGAACAGAAACCGGATGGAAATAGGTTCATAAAATGGCCATAAATGCGCTCGAGGACCACTCAGGAAAGAAGAAACACTTTTCCTTATACATTGCCGGATCCAGACCTTGAGATAAGGGGGAGCTGGTCATCTAGACCCTTAGATAAGGGGGCCCCGGTCTCCAAACAAAATTTTTTTGGCCCTTCGGGTCTCAGTTTGGTCTAAAAATAAGGGAGGCCTGGCCCCCAGGCCCCTCCCCTGGATCCGCCAATGTTATACAAACTCTAATACCGTATTTCCTCGAATGATAGCCGGGGGGGCGATTCTTTCTTTTTTGCACAAAACAGGGGCAATTATTCGAGGGAGACGATTATTTCAAATATTGCTCACCCGAAGTCGTGCGTGTCGTAATTTTCAGAGCTTGAATTGTCACTGATCAGTTTTGCTGGATTACATTGCACTTCAACTTGACAGGGAGGGGATAAAAGGTAGAGAAGATGGCGAAAGGGGCGTAAGTAGGGGGGGGCATTATTTTAAATTTTTTCCGTCAAAGGGGGGCGATTATTCGAGGGAGGCGATTACTCGAGGGACGGCTGTTATTCGAGGAAATGCGGTACCTCGAAGGGCATGCAACAATGCCAATGATTACACATTTTGAGCTTTGGCCATCTGTGTTAAGGAGTCAGTGATTTTATAATTCCAGAGAAGTAGTCTATATGTTTCAGGCAATATATGCGTTTAATTCCTTAAACGTATGTATTACTATTGTATTTTTTTAGGATCATTGTACTTGTCAATCATACCTATCACCCACTATTTTTCAGAATTTGTCAATAATGACCGAAAAATCGATCTAGTTACCAATGATGACTTTATGTTGCTGGCAGTGAGAACTGCAGGACCACCTTAAGCCGTTATCGAACAGCCTATTCCTCAAGAGCGCACATGAAATGCTTTGTTCTGTATGGAAGAAAATGAGGAAATGCACCCATGATGAAGTCTCAAAAGAACTCTGACTTAAAATGCATATCAACAATACCGAAAACTCGACAGAAGGTTTTTCCTAATTTAAAGTGAACAAGTTCGAAATTTCAGAACATGGTCCTCAATATTGCTAGGGTACATTTTTGCTCAGTCTGCTTTATTTTATGCGCTTCTCTTCGTAATCGTTAATATATATTCAGTTTATTCTATATTGGTGTTGGGATTTCAAATAATTCTAAAAAGGCAGGTTGTACGGTGTAACTCTCAAAATTAGCGTAAACATGAGAAATTTCTACCCATTTGGTTGTCTTACAGCAGTGGTCACGCTTCAGCTTAATTTGAAATAGCTGGTAGTATAAACAAATAACAGCATGATTTGTGCGTGATATTTGGCATAAATACCACTCGTAATATTTCGAAATTATCTCAAATTGCACTCGCCTAAAGGCTCGCGAAATTACCACAAATCATGCTATTACCTATACCGAACCTGACCTAAAATACCTAACCTGACCTTGACATTAAAGTTTCATTTCTCATATAGAAGTATAAAGATCTATATTTAAGCTAATTTTGAGAGTTAAACACTTTGCGGTCTTACGCTTTTTAGGTCACCCCAACAACGGCATAATTTATTACAAGCGGTACTGAGTGATCAAACCAAAATTTGTAGGCCCGAGCCTACAGGTCTATGGGCTGGCTACGCCCCTGCCACCCATTGGTTTTTTATTAGTTTTTAGACTTAATCTGGACCCTTTTTTATTCCGAGGATGATTCCTCAACTATTTGCATGGAAATGTACAATGGAGGGTTCCCTAATTTATGTTAACAAATTAAAGGTACAAACACGAGGCTGAAAATGACAAGATAGAGTGTCCTCTCTTGTGTCTGATCCAAGCGTGGATCTTATTTCATTTTGTGTATTCGCTGCAGAGTGGGGTGTGCCAACGCTTAAGTAAACATGTGCTGGGCTTTCAAACCTTACAAAAGTTGTTCTAAAATACTTAAAAGTTTAGATTTAAACTTTTCCTTTTTTCTTTTCATTTTGAACGTGTGAACATAGGAAGACCTGTTAAAATAAAATAAATAACCAATTTTGTTAGGAGGACAATTTTTTCAAGCTCATTCATTTTGTTTACTTGTGCAATCGTTCAAACCATGTGTGAATGCCGGTTAAGCCTCGACATTGGCTGTAGATTATTCTTATTTCAACAACACTTTTGTTACTGCCTTAGATAGAATGTGCTTTATAAGCAGAGAAGTATTGGGTAATACCCCCTTCTATAAAAGAAAGGTTTAGATCTTATAGCATCAAGGTTTGTCTGAAATTATGTATACCCCTCACCCCCCCAGTATTATTTCATAATACCGGTACTGGTATTGGCATCCAGAACAAACGCTGCGTCAAAGAGACCATGCATTCACGAACCATTTCTAAACCATCTGATTACAAACAGGAGTCTTCTTCTGGATACTAACTTGATTGCGATTCCGAGCTTCTAATGGTTACTATTATTGAAACTAATTGCGGGGAGTGTCTCATTATCCACTTGGGTCTTGAGAGAGATGGGTCTCTAAAACTGAATACCACGTCTCATAAGTCAGAACTGCGGCTCGCGCTGCTAGTCTGCTTTCAGCCTTCACTGACCTTAGAACTATTAATGATAGTTTAAAAAATGGTAGAGGAAATGCCTATAGTCCATAGCTCTGGGAAGACCATGAATAAGGACTATACAATAACAATACAGTCCACAATAACAAAATGTTTTCCAGCGTTGATTTTCTGATTATGCTTTCACTACCTCGTTCCCAAACGACTCCCTCGCGAGGTAAATTTGCGCTGCGCGCAGAGCGGCGAAAAGGAGCTCAGGCCACCCGGCGTCACCTCTTTTCTTTATCCTTCTCGTGGCCTCTCGCGCTTCGTGACGAGTTACTCGCGCGTTTCGCAACCAAAGTGCGTTATGAAGCACTTAATTGCGGGAGCAGGCAGGTGCATTCAGGTAGCTTGCTGAGGCAGATAACGTGGACGCAAGTCCATTAAAAACGTGTGAACGCAAACAAATTAACTTACATGGAATTACCGCTTCTGTTCACATGAGATTTCGTGTGAAAATTCCCCAGAATGGAGTTTCGAAAACGGAGAATATCTTCTCGTGTGGACACACAGCTGTAAACGCTGAAGTTTGTATGTGCCCATAAACTTAAAGAAATTGTGTGGACATTGCCTCAAACAATAATAATTAATTCTTAGGTAATTGTCATTCAAGAGGAACATTTTGTACAAAGACGCTTTATGTTTTCAAGCAGTACATTTATTTTCATTGGTATTCCCGAAGAGTACATCCTAGCTAGCTAGCTTTCGAGCAGCATCGTTGATGACAGCCCCCATAATTACAAATATCGGCTCCTGCAAATATACAAAAATACAAAAATTATCATAAACCTGAGCTCGCTACCGAGTTGATGTTCTCAAAAAACGGAACAGAAAGAGGTGCGGAAGGAACCCACTTGCATCACCTTACTTCGAAATGCATTGGTAGTTTCAGTGAATAGACCTATTCGGCTAACTCAATGTTGTACCCAATTCAAACCCTTTGGGAATAAAACGTTTTGTTTCAGGAATTTCCATATCATTTAAATATGAATGCCACATTATAATGCAAATGCAATACACAAAGAAACTTATCCCCGGGAGATTTGAATTGGATACAACATTGAGTTAGCCGAATAGGTCTATTGAGGTATTTCTGTCATTTTTAATTTTCCATTTTATATTTTAATCATTGTTGGGTGTCCCCAGTTAGTCAGTACGTTTGTCACCTAGCACAACATTAAACTTAATAATTCTTACTGGATATTTATAGTACAAGAATGATGTTCCTATACCTATACTTACAAAGCCAACTTGACAATTAACCTTCAACGAATTTTTATTCATTTGAAGTATACTGAAATTAATTTACAGAACACGTTCAATTAATGAATCATGCCTTATGGCTAGTGCGTTCTTTTAATTAAAAATGAGAACTGCATAAGAAAATAAATTATTATGATTCCATCTAGACTGTAGGAACCTAATAAACCCTTCTTTTTCCCCTAATAAGTCAAGGTACCCGCAGTCTTTCAGTAATTAGCATAACATACATCAAATAGGGATGTTGGTGATATTAATTGGCAGTGCCATCTGGCAGTCTGTAGACAAGCTCGAAGCAAACGAAAATGGCTCATTCGGACAAGAATCTGCCCTATAAAAGTTCTTTTGTCCATTTTATGGCTTTTATGTGGCTTTGTCAAAATTTGGCATATTCAGGTGAGAAACTGGTGAACTCTGACCATTATGTAGTTATTCAGTCAGTTGCCCAACGATTTATTATTGGCATTAACTAAGTGTAGTTATCTACCACTTTTTGCAAATTCATGAAATTTCATAGACTATATATAGTACTTTTAATAAATCCTAAACTGTCGAGGCCCAGAAATTGAAAAGTATTACACAACCATACGCCAAAACGAAGCTAGTGCTTGCAAAAGTGGGGTGTTTTCAGTTTCACAATAATGTTTGTCGTGATCCGCCGAAACATTCATTCATGTTTTTAGAATGTTCCTTGTCGTGTTGCCAGTAAAGTTGTCGAGTCTTAGTAACTTCAAATCAGTTCAGCTCCTGCAGCAGTTTCTATCATGAGCTCGACAAGTAAAAGTACCGACCTCCAAAGGCACTTAGAGTCACACTTCAATTTAAAGTTTCCACCAGCTGTCATAGATATTCGGTGAAACTAGGAATAAGGTAGTGAAGAGAATGATAACATGGCAATGAAAAGCCGGAATCACCATGCTCATTTCCACGATACAATGCTTAAGAATACGGCTATTTAAGAGACGTAACGGTTTTCCATAAAGTCAGCGTTATCACCACAGTTAGCCCAAGATCAAGATATGAGCATATGCGAACATCGGCATTGTTGAGTAACATTCGAAATATAAGGATTTGTATGGGAAAAAACCTATCGTTTCTGTAACCTACGAAAGTTGTTTTTTTATTGAAATCCTTTCATTTTCGTAGGTTACAGAAACGATAGGTTTTTTCCCATATCAACCCTTATATTTCGAATGTTACGCAACAATGCCGATGTTCGCCGATGCTCATATTTCGAGCTTGGGCTACCTGTGTTATCACACAGACTTGACTCTTTTGTTCTGTTTATGAAGCTGCGTTCCTGAAAAATGCCTTTGAATACTTTGAAGTTGTTTTCTACTTTACGCTCTAAAGTAGAATAAATCTGGCTTTTGCTCAAGGTATCGGTGATGAAACTCGACATACCACTGTCTGAGTTGTACAAAACATTACTTGACTCAACTCGTCGAGAAGAAAATTGGAATCTACTGTGCATGCAACGCTTTAAACCACTGAGGAAGAGGGATCACCCTCGAAACGTCTGGATTTTCGTACTTTTTCAACGCACATTTTGATAAACTTTGTAAAAATCGCAAGAAGAAGCCTTGTTTGCGGCCTTTGTTCCTACGGTTATTCGCAGTGAAAGATGCGCAATTCAAAAGGACGCCGTGAGTTTTAGCGCTCGTGAAAGAAAAAGCCGTACAACGACAAAACATGAAAACATTTTGATAACGATTCATTTTTGACAAGAAACTTTGTTTAACCAGACTAATTGTAGTGTATTGAATCAAGCCACCCGAACTGAGTGCAAGTCTGAGTCTAGTTCTTTTCTCTATCAATCATGGCTGTCGCCAGTCGAGCTGTTTACCATACGTCTTTCACTGATACTATTCTTTACTTCATTCAAATCACACTCAATTATATTACTAGTATGCAGTACATTCCCTCCTTTCTTAGAGCTGAAAAGCTGGGGCGAATGGGTCATTTTTAGACGGAAAGTTCTTTTGGGAAAAAATAATGACGTTGAATTAAGTTGTTAATACTCAGAAAAGACAATTAATAATTAATGACAAGAATTGCAGACATGTTTGCTACTGGCTCAGTAAGATGTCATTAACATCAAGACACAGGCAATATGTTTGTCTTCTGGATAATACTTTATAACTGAGATAATATAAGATGAAAATTTGGCTAAACAAGAACGCTCTTACAGCGGCTTGCTTGCTTGGCGGAGATTAGATCGAGAAATGAGGAGGCGATTAATTCTACACGAAACAGAATTTACTCTCTAAAAGTTTTTTATTTCCTACTTTATCGAGGATAAATATTCTTTTTATTTGTTTCTGAATTGATTTAATACGCGTGTTAACGACGACCGGAAATACGTCTCCGGTCCCAGGCTGTACGCGTGTATTCATGGCCTCGATTCCAGAGATGCGTACTCATCACAAGACCATTTGCATACAATGAAAGTTTACAACACTCGACCATCGCAGTTTTGCTAATTAAGATTCTTATTTTTTTCAACCACTCGCTAGTGTTCCCGTAATCCAAAGTAATCAACACTTTCAACCGATCGAATTCTTGGACCGACACGTTTCGGAAAAGCTCTAAATTTAATCCCTCCTTAAGCTTTCTTGACAAAACATGCGTGGCTTCGGTCACGCAATGATTCTTATTCCCAGTTTCCACGATCTCCGCTACGAACGCTTGGCACAATGACCTCCCTTTTGTGTCATAAATACGAAGAAAAACGGCTTGCAGATTATGAGTCTCGCTGCCTACACAAGCGAGACTAATTAAACCCAGGATTTTTTCTGTCCCAGTTATTACAACTCTTACTTGCTGTTTACATGGAGGGAGAAAGATCCCAGAAGGCGGATCACCCTGGCGCCATATGTTTTCTGCATTCGGTTTGCATACAAAAGGTAGTAGTTGTCCTTAGTGCTAGGGTCTTCCTTTTTGGAGGATCTTAAGGTAGGAAGATCCTGGCAACATGTAAACTGTCTTTGCTCGGAAGATCTTAGAACTGAGGACAAACTAAACAAAAATGGCAACAGGTCGTTCAGTGCATGGCTAATCCATATCACGGCAATAAAGGCCGACATTTTTTTTTATTGCGTTACCGCGAGCTGATTGTGATAACTCTGCTGAAGGGTAGTTACTAACGCCAGTAAAGACGGCAGAAGGGTCCAAATCGCATTTTTGTTTTTGTCGCCCGCTATTTTGAATTCCTTCTCGAAGTTCTAGATCCTTCTCTACTTGGTACCAGACAAACCGAAATTTCACGTAAACCCAACGAAAAGTTGTTCCTCCTTCTGGGATCTTTCTGTTACTAGGATCTTCCTCCTTCCATGTAACTAATCAGTCCCTTGAAAAATGATATTTATTAATATTAATGATAATTTCTATGTGCACAAGAGGTTAAACTTTAAGTTTTTCTAATCATGCCAGCTGAGGAGGGCCGCATCATAGTGTTTAAAGAACCTGTACCAAACAAAGTCATGACAGGTCACGTAATCAGAAGTGAAACCGCACCCAATGAAGGGAGCTGTCGAGTGAAGTGTTATATGGAGCCCAACTGTGTGTCCATCAATATGGGACCATTGACAGGAGGACAGATCAAATGCGAATTGAATAACGCCACTGCAGAAAACGAATTTGTGTTTGATCTAAGGACCAAAGATGCCCACACTTATCTGGCCATCGAGGTAAGCGCTTTTGTTTGGAACTCATCTTAGATACAGAGTCTCTAGAGACCTCGGTGACGAGGCTGTTTATAAAGGTTAATGGGGGCTGACGTTTAGTTTACAAGAAGATCTAACGTCAAATTTTTATTGCGCCAGTGGAATAGCCTGCGTAGCAAGCGTTTCCGGTTGAAATATTGCGCGAAAGTTGGGGCGAGAGTAAAATAAATGCTCTCGTCCCAGCTTTTCTCGACGAGCTCAAGTGGAAACGCTTGCTACACAGCCTGCTACTAGAACTTAGCGAGTTTGATATCAAGATCGCTTAAATGGTTCGTTCAAGACGTTTTTGAACAAACAAACGACAATAAGCCTGTGGCGATAGGAGCATTTTAAGCGCGAATGTACCAGCGAGTTAATATTCAAATTATTCAAAGTCTTGTTTATATATTTCGTAAAGTGAGCTTCTCAATGGGTGATTTCATTAGGCTACCTTAATACCTTACTTTTTTGCGTCTAACGCTGTAACAATTTCTCCTAGAAACGGGGTTAATAAATAAAGAAGTTTTCGTCTCTGAAAGGCAAATTATTTGCGGTATGAAAAAAGATATACGGAAATTTATCAGCAGCGAGACAAGGCACACACACGGCTTTCACGATTTTTACGACTAAGAAATCAAACATTCTACATCGGACATCTTACATTACACCTGTTGACTCTAATGACTGAAGTTTTGACTTCCGGCAATCGGCTTGTCCATTCTTAAGCCCTCTAATATACTTATAATCTGGTAGTTGTTTTTGATTGTTGCTCCTTATTCCAGAATCCCTGCAGCAGTAGTCCATGTCTACACAACGGAACATGTCAAGCTGGATTCACAAGTAAAGGGTTTCGTTGCATATGTCTTCCTGGATTCCCCGGAACAAACTGTGAAGGTACGTGCATGCAACAATTTTTACTGCACATTTGGCTTAAACAATGCATTTAAAGAGAGATCAGCATTGGGGCCGTAGTAAGAGTGAGGCATTTTTTCGAGGAATGCGCAGAAGGCTAACGTTCGCTTTCTCTTCTTCCCAGCTTCTTTTTCTTTTCTTTCTTCCTTAATTTCTTTCTTCTATTGGACATTCCACGTCTTCTACTAGACTTCATTTCAGTGGGAAACGTTTCGCTAAAGTCCCGAAGATCAAGAACTTTTTTTGAAAGGGAGTAAGGCTCTTGTAGTGTCAACAAAGAAGATTTTCAAAGGAATTTTCTGGTCAACTGTAGACGTTTTTGAGTATTGCTCTGTCACGTTTAACTGAATCGCGCACATTTGGGTATGGTTCGAACGATCTCACTTTCCTATACAGTACATGTTAGCGGTCAAAACTGTCCATGAACGTAAGAGTGATGACGTCACAAGTGATACAATGGACGATGATATGCATTGTCGGTAATGGGTGGCTCGAGTATAAATGGGTTAAAGCAGTGTAAAACTGATGAAGCCACATGCACACCAAGGAATTCGAAGTGCAAGTAGTCGTCAGTTGGTTCCTGGGGAATATCCCAAGGGCTTTGATTTATAACTAATCCTGGTTATTTTCAATCACTGTGTTTAGCCAAATCATGTAGTGACCTAAAGAAGATTGAGCCTAGAGCAGAAAGTGGAAACTACGTCATTGACCCCGATGGAGAAGGTGGCTTGCTTCCTATGTATGACGTCATCTGTGACATGACCGACAAAGATGGGGTTGGCGTGGCAGTCATCAGTCACGACAGTGAGAACAGAACCTTGGTGAAAGGATACGACCGTAAAGGTAGCTACTCGCGTGACATTCATTACACAGGAGCGAATCTGTCTCAGATAGCGAGTCTCACCAGAGTCTCCCTGCGCTGTGAGCAGTTTATCAAGTATGAGTGTTATCATTCAAGGTTACTGCATTCCAATAATAAAGTTCCATTCGGATGGTGGGTGTCACGTGATGACGATAAGATGACGTACTGGGGCGGAGCAACTGAAAATGGCAAATGCGCCTGTGGAATGAACAATACATGTGCAAAACCCAGCCTTGGTTGTAATTGCGATAAAAATGACAAGAACTGGCGTGAAGACAGTGGTTTCCTCACTGACAAGACAAAGCTTCCGGTCAAGCAGCTCAGGTTTGGAGACACTGGAGATGACATTCTCAAGGAACAAGGTTACCATACTCTGGGGAAATTCAAATGTTATGGTATGGCCTGATAAAGCAAACTGCACTCAGATAAAACTAATTGTATTTTGTGTATCATTTTCGTATGGACAATCAATTGACCTACCCTGCAAACGTTTCCTGTATCTCCTTATTGAACTTGTCAAACCACTGACACGATAAGCAAAAAGTTGGATTGGCTATAAGGGTGACCAGCCTAGCCAGGTAACCCTTTTTGGATAGTAGGGTCGCGTTCCTAGTCGGGCCAACTTTTTTCCACATAATAACTTTGACTCGTCCAGCCGGATCAACTTGGTCAAGACGAGACAATCAGAGTACTAGTGCTGTTTTAGATAATCAGAGCATGCGCGAATGCTCGGACAAAAGGTTGGCAAAGGGGTCAACATTTTTCTCATATAAACGCTCGCTGACGGTTGTCTCGGCTGGGAAGTTTACCCTCTTTCCTGCGACTGCTTTTCTCCGTATAAACGGGACCTTTATGTCAAATGCAAGTTAAGACAAAGAGATGATCGGAATGGATTTTTAAAGATGTTTCCCTGAATGGAAGTCAGGCTGCAGTGTGTTCCCGAAAGTGCTAGGCTGGCACAAAAGTGTTTCAGAGTTTCAGTTTATTTTACCACAATGAATAAAGGACAAGACTACAGGAATACGCAGAAGCAACGTAGTGAGGAAGCCCAAAAAGAAACCATACGGCTTATAGATATTGGGCACACTCAAAGTATTTAACAATTATTCCACGAGAGCGCGTTGGATATGAGATGATAGATAGCCAACGAGGCGCGTAGCGCCGAGTTGGCTATAATCATCTCATATCCAACAAGCGCGAGTGGAATAATTGTTTTATTAAAAACGTCCACAAAATCTCGTTGAATCTCCCCGACTAGAACAAACCGGAAAAGACAAGGGACTTCTGCTATTCACATGTCACACGTCTATCAAAACTGTCAACGCGAGAACGGACTCGCCTGGACAGCATGAATGAAAAATCAAAACATTGTAGCGATGAACATTACTTTTTTAAGAGGGTCTTAATGGGGTTAACCGATAGGCGTAAAACGGCCAAAAATTTAGTCGATAGCCGTAAAAATTGAAAAATTTTAACCGTTAGCCGTAAATAGGGTAAAAAAAGTTAACCGTAAAAGAAATTGTTCCCTAGATTTGCTACTTTTAAGGAAGGTACTAAACTCACTTATGGTTGCGCCTTTATTTCGCGGCTAGTTTGGCTCCGTACGCACGTTAGGTAAAGCGCCTTTTAGGTGAAGACCAAGACCCATTTCCATTTCGGCCGCTCTCTCGGAGAACTTTTTTTTTTTTCTATAGCGAAAGTGTGGCTTCTTGCTGGGGATTAAGGAGGTCGTGCCCTCGAAACACTAGTGAAACAACACGAAGAGATCTCACTGTTTGTAAAACAAGTTGCCGATAAACATTTCCCTGTTTTTCTCTGACGCTACGGTAGACATTGCCATGCCGAGTCCCTGTACGGCGTCTTCCCACGCAATATCGGTCAAGGCATTTCGGTGGCGAACTCGCTCGGACCACGTGACCCGAAACGCATTAGCCGCGCGAAATAATAAGGCCTACGGACAAGGCAAAACGGCTGACATGCAGTGGTTCCGTACAGTCCTTCGCTACCATTAAAAACACTGGACACGGGAATTTTGTTATTGGCCGTTTTCACACTAGAGCTAGAAACGGATTATCCGTCTGAGACTAGCCTGTGTACAGTCGCCCCCTTCCCGACAGACACCCGCCTCTCCGATTTTTTTTTTCTGAGGGGAAGGGGCGGTTGTACACAGGCTATCTGCAACGGATAATCCCGTCTTCAAACTGTCCGTCGAAGTTGAAGGATAAAGTCAGGCGGATTGTTCACGCAAAATTAAAACTATTCCATTACCTATCTGAAGCGAATCATCAAACGGATAACCCGTCTCACACGAATAATCCGTCTTTAGTGTGAAAACGGCCATTTCTTTCTCTTATGAATGTCGCGCCCCGGCCTTGAGTTAGGCGTTCGCGTGTGTGCTTTGCTTATTCACAAAGATTATTTTTAAATTGACTATTGACATTTTTATGTGTAAAATAATATTAGAAGTGGAATACTTTATAAAAAGTATGATCTATCAAATGTTGAAATTTTTCAAAAGAATAGCTTATTTCATATCCCGAGATGATCCTAAGACCTTTATTTTGCTTTAAAGATACAAAAAATACAGGTTAATTAATATTTAACTTTTTGAAACAAAAGAAGTTAATTTTTAACTTTTTTGTTAACCGTAACTGAAAAAAATTAGCCGATAGCCGTAAAAAAGCCAAAATTTTAGCCGATAACCGTAAATGCCACCACCCCATTGAGACCCTCTTTTAAAAACTCATCGGGATTCTAAGATTTTACACAGCAGAACAGCTAAAAAAACCTGGCAGATAATGTGAAGGAAAAGAATTTTTAAGTGACAGCCGTCGAAATTACTGTGAATTTGGATTTTCGGTGCAGTTATAAAAGTAAGAAGAACGGAGAAAAACTATTACCTCGGTCGCTTGTTATGAAGTTGTTTGAAGCCACAGCTGGTTTTGCTGAACGACAAAAGAAGCTATACTGCCGCCTCGATTGCTCTAGTGAATGGCTGCATAGCCTGTATTTGTAGCTGGTTACTTGTGATTTATATTCTTCATGTCGGATAAACAAGCCGCAGTTATCTATCGGCGAGTGACTCGATCGGCGAATGGCTTCGCGATCATGAAGAAACAACACTTGTCTTCTTTCGTAGCTGGTCAAGGTACTTTAGTTCCATGTGTTTTCATGTGTTTTTCGACAAACTTTCAAACAAGCTCTTGTGGCTTTTTTGTTTGTTTTTCTCTTTTTTCTTGCGATGAAATTGCATTTCTAGTATTCTAAAAAATGAATTAAAACGATTTGCTTCGGGCGCCGTTCTATCCTTCGCTAAGCCAATCAAAATGCTAGAATTGCATTATCCAATGATTCAGTTTTTAATAAAAAAAAGTATCCGTTTACAAGGCCGGAATTGAGCGTATACTGAGTAAATTAAATGACATTGATTAAAAGGTAAATAACTAATATAAATATGTATAAATAGAAAGCAATAAACGTATAACCTATATAAAGAGACACTGTGAAGAAAAAATGACTAATTACAGAGTTTTTTAGATAATTCTCAGAGGAATGTTTGCGAAGAGTGTTTTTGAATGAGGAGTGAGAAAGAGAATCTTTCTCATTTCCTAAGAGTTATAATAAGATGGTCCTTGGAAACTCACAGAACTTCGAAGATTGCTTTCGAGGAAGATGAACGTCATTCGCGTGTTTAGTACCTGTTTTTTGAAAAACAAATCTAGCTCTTCGCTAGTTAATTTAACTTGTTAGAATTTCTTGACCCATATGCACTTCTATTTTACAACTTGATTATTAGTTTAAGTTCTTGGCTAACGCGAATGCGAAAAACATTTATTATTTATTACATTAGTAGCATATTTATAAGTGACCAGCTACAGTCAGTGAAAGTTTGTACGACAGGCCAGTCTCATTAAAATTAAAGACATTAAACAAACAAACGCGCAGTTGGGCCTCGATATGTTATGCTGGGCAGTGGATTTTAATTTTAAATTTCCAAAAAGAACTTTTTGGCGCAATGCTATGAGATTTTCTCTCTTGAAAAAAAGCTCGCTTAGCAAAGCTTGGCCTGTTCTGGACAGTTGCAAACATAATTCTTATATCCTACCAAGAGATAATGATCCTGCACATGTGTTGCTCTTTCCGCATACGCCCTTACCACTGCCGGGAGTAACCCCTCCCAAATTGACATTCTAGGAGAACTGCGTGACACCCACCAACCAAAAACCTGTCTCTCATTTTTATTTAAGATCGAGCCCTTGATATTTAATAAATTGCTCACTGCAGTGTGACGAGACATTGGTGATACTCTTTGAACCCTTTTTGGTCCAAAAACGGGCGTCGATTTTGCTCATTTTGGTCTGATATCGGGTGTGGTTTCGTTTCAATTTCAAATGGATAATAACGGTTGGTTTTCACTTGACGTCAGGAAAATTCAAACTAAAAAACTATCGACCCTACCGAGATTTTACTTTCACGATGCATTAGAGCAGCTGAAAACTAATTTTCATACAAATTTTCGCGTCAAAAGGGTTCTTAGTTTTGTGATAGAGTACGCTTGAATTTCTAAGCTTTTCCGTGACGCTCCATTTACATGACGGCCAAGAGAGCTGTCACGTAGGTTTAAAAAATGACTTTATTTCAGGAAATTTTACTATCCAAACAGTTCATTTATTAGAAAAAGTATTACTTTAGTGTTTATGAGTTTCTCGAAGAATAAATTCCCGCTTTTGTAGCAAAACGGTAACAGATATTTCTGTTGGTTTTCGTCCGCCATGTTGGAGTTCATCCCAGTGTGCACCAGCTTATGTGGCGTCTCCATACAAATCTCTATAAGTTTGGGTAAAGCATTTCTTCGGATATCTCGTATACGAAAAATTCCTCTGACCTGAATCTTGGCGAGGGTCTTTGTATATTTACCTCCTTTCAGAGTCCTTTCATTTCCCAGATTCTGGACTTTATCTATTGAACGGTTTTGATTTTTATTTTGATCTATTTTGAATGGCGTGACACTGAAAACCAGCAATAGAAATATGCGAATTCCAAATGCATTTGAAGAAATCTTTTGTCTGCGCTCTGATCTAAGTAATCATCACATTATTTCTGCCTAAAGGCCAGGTCTGAAAACAGGTATGGATCTTAGAGGTCTGGTCTGGTCTGAAAACGGGTGTAGGAAAAGACATTTTTGGTCTGAAATAGGGTCAGGATTTGGAGAACCGGGCGGCACACCCCCACCAAGAATTCCCAGGAGTACCCCCCGGGTGAAAATTACACTTGTAAAAGTTTTATGATTACCCCTGGAGCTTCATGTCCCGACACATTACACATATGTTCTATTCTCATATTCGTGACGGATGTGTCACGCCAACTCCACCCTATTGTCATTCATCTCAGGCTTGCCACCAGTGTATGACGTGAGCGGTCCCTCACTATGACTGAACTTCCACTCTCCGCTAATGGTAAAAGGTTGTTATAGTTGCTTGAAAACGGTCTGACTACTCAGCACTGAGCCCTTAGATCACTGACAAGGGTAAACTTTAAAGAAATACGCTTAAGGAGTTAATATTACGGAAAGGCATTTTCGAAAACAGGTAGCCCAAGGTTTTACTGGAACCCTTTAGCTCTCTTTATAAAGAGAAAAGATCATGGTAGAGAACAGATACCGGATAGAAACTGGTTCAAAAAATGGCCATAAATTAAACATGCTCGATGACCACTCAGGAAAAAAGAAACATGCAACTTAAACTTGATTTTTTTTAATCTTTTAACATTTGAAGGTTACAAGAACAGGGCACGCAACAACGCCAATGGTTACACATTTTGAGCTTGGACCATCTGTGTTAAGAAGTCAGTGATTTTATAATTCCAGAGGAGAGATCCACAAGAAATAAACTACAGCGGTTTTAAAAATACTCCTGCGTTTAAGGCAATATATGTTTTCAATTCCTTAAACGCATGTATTACCATAATTATACTTTGTTAGGATCGTTGTATTTGTCAATCATACCTATCACCCACTGTTTTTCAGAATTTTTCAATAATGACCGAAAAATCTATCTCAGTAACCAATAATGACTTTATGTTGCTGGCAGTGAGAACTGCAGGACCACCTTAAGCCGTTATCGAACAGCCTATTCTTCGAGAGCGCATGCACATACAATGCTTTCAGTTCAGTATATATGGAAGAAAATGAGGAAATGCGCCCATGATGAAGTCTCAAAAGAACTCTGACTTATAATAATGCATATCAACAATACCGAAAACTCGACAGAAGGTTTTTCCTAATTTAAAGTGAACAAGTTCGAAATTTCAGAACTTGGTCCTCAATATTGTTAGGGTACACTTTTGCTCAGTCTGCTTTATTGTATGCGCTTCTCTTCGTAATCATTAATATTTATTCAGTTTATTCTATATTGGTGTTTGGGTTTCAAATAATTCTAAAAAGGCAGGTTGTACGGTTTAACTCTAAAAATTAGCGTAAATATAGATCTTTATACTACTACATGACAAATTTCTGCAATTTGATTGGCTTAGAGCAGTGGTGGAAGGCCTAAATGTAATAAACGGTCCTAAATGTAATAAAGTCCTAAATGTAATAAAGTCCTAAATGTAATAACAATTTGCCCTAAATGTAATAAACTCTAAAGCATCCAATCACAGTAATTACTCGAATAAGCCCCGTCCTCATATAAGCGCTGCATTTGGGGCGTTGGGGAGTTAATAAGCGCCGCGGCGCTTATTCGAGTAAATACGGTACTAAGCGGTATTGCTATGCCGCATTGTTGGAGAAAAAAGTTAATAAGCGCCGCGGCGCTAATTCGCGTAAATTCTGTACATTTTCTTATGAACTGTGAAACTTAAAAACTATGTAATTATTAAGTCAGGAGCCTGTTTCGAATAAGCATTCCAACATCAAAAACAATTCCGTTGATTCCTTTATAGCAAGGCTTCCTATTTCAGAAGTTCTCTTCAATTATTCTTCTATTTCCTCTTCTGCCTTGTCACTGTTGTCATCTTTTTTCAACAGCAACAAACGCAAACGAAGGTAGGGCTTCCTTAAAAACTTATGTAACGACACAAGGTCAACATCATATCTGTATAAAAACATTAACAGCTCTTTTGATTCTCTTACAGTGAGACAGTGGAGCTCGTTAATGTTGCTATTCCTTTCCTTTCCTTTTTTCCTATTTTTCCTATTTTTCCCCTACTTTCCCCGCGGCCACTTTCTTCCTGTCCCCAAGGTGGCCGTTGTGGAAAGGTACGTACAATAGTTCATTTTTGTTACTTGTTATGTTTTACATAATTGTAAACAATATGGATTAACTAATAAAATGAATGAATGAATGTATAAGTATACTTAATAGACAATAAACTGTTATGTGTCGCTTTGAAGAAATTTATTCATAAACGAGAAGTTCAGCGTTGCATATTAAGAAAATATATCAGTACTGTTTTCCTCGAATAAGGGCCGCGACGCTCATTTACTTTTTTCTCCCAATGGTGGTGCTTATTTGAGGGCGGCCCTTATGCGTGTAAATATGGTAATTGTTAATGTACCGTCTTTACCAATTGCTGCGCTTGTTTTAGAGCGATGCTTATTCGCATAAATACGGTAATTGGTATCTTAAGAGTTTATTACATTTAGGGCCAAATGTTATTACATTTAGGACTTTATTCTTTATTCGATCTTGACAGTTATGCAAACCTGAGACGACGTCGAGGGTTTGCATAACTGTCTCGAATTCTCCCAACCCCTCTAGTGTTCTAGTGTTTACATCAAGCTATGCAAACACAGGAAAAAAAGTTTTCTATTGTTTAAATATTGCTTTTTTACAAAAATACTGTTACTTTGCCGTTTACAAGCAAATTATTTGTAAACGTTAATATTCACAATGCATAAGGAAATGTACAGAATTTACGCGAATTAGCGCCGCGGCGCTTATCAACTTTTTCTCCAAAAATGCGGCGCTTATTTGAGAGCGGAGCTTAATACCATAGCAATACCGCTTAGCACCGTATTTACTCGAATAAGCGCCGCGGCGCTAATTAACTCCCAACGCCCCAAATGCGGCGCTTATTTGAGGGCGGGGCTTATTCGAGTAATTACTGTAATTGGCAGCTTAAGAGTTTATTACATTTAGGGCAAATTGTTATTACATTTAGGACTTTATTACATTTAGGGTCGTTTATTACATTTAGGCCTTCAACATTGGTATTTCAGCTTAATTTGAAATAGCTACCTACACGTGAAAATTACAAACCTTTTGCGGGTAGTAGTATAAACAAATAATAGCATAATTTGTGCGTGATATTTGGCATAAATACCACTCGTAATATTTCAAAATTATCTCAAATTTCACTCGCCTAAAGGCTCGTGAAATTACCTATAACAATTTCGAAATATCACTCGTGGTATTTATGCCAAATATCACCACAAATCATGCTTACCTAACCTGGCCTTGACAGTAAAGTTTCATTTCTCATGTAGAAGTACAAAGATCTATATTTACGCTAATTTTAAGAGTTAAACACTTTGCGGTCTTACGCTTTTTAGCTCACCCCAACAACGGCATAATTTATTACAAGCGGTACTGAGTGATCAAACCAAAATTTGTAGGCCCGAGCCTACAGGTCTATGGGCTGGCTTCGCCCCTGCCACCCATTGGTTTTTTTAGTAGTTTTTAGACTTAATCTGAACCCTTTTTTATTCCGAGGATGATTCCTTAACTATTTGCATGGAAATGACAATGGAGGGTTCCCTAATTCATGTTAACAAATTAAAGGTACAAACACGAGGCTGAAAATGACAAGATAGAGTGTCCTCTCTGGTGTCTGATCCAAGCGTGGATCTTATTTCATTTTGTGTACTCGCTACAGAGTGGGGTGTGCCAACGCTTAAGTAAACATGTGCTGGGCTTTCAAACCTTACAAAAATTGTTCTAAAATACATAAAAGTTTAGATTTAAACTTTTCCTTTTTTCTTTTCATTTTGAACGTGTGAAAATAGGAAGACCTGTTAAAATAAAATAAATAACCAATTTTGTTAGGAGGACAATTTTTTCAAGCTCATTCATTTTGTTTGTTTGTGCAATCGTTCAAACCATTTGTGAATGCCGGTTAAGCCTCGACATTGGCTGTAGATTATTCTTATTTCAACAACACGTTTGTTACTGCCTTAGATAGAATGTGCTTTATAAGCAGAGAAGTATTGGGTAATACTCCCTTCTATAAAAGAAAGGTTTAGATCTTAGCATCAAGGTTTGTCTGAAATTATGTATACCCCTCCCTCCCCCAGTAATATTTCATAATACCGGTACTGGTATTGGCATCCAGAACAAACGCTGCGTCAAAGAGACCATTCACGGACCATTTCTAAACCATCTGATTACAAACAGGGGTCTTCTTCTGGATACTAACTTGATTGCGATTCCGAGCTTCTAATGGTTACTATTATTGGAATTAATTGCGGGGAGTGTCTCATTATCCATTTGGGTCTTGAGAGAGATGGGTCTCTAAAACTGAATAGCACATCTCATAAGTCAGAACTGCGGCTCGCGCTGCTAGTCTGCTTTCAGCCTTCACTGACCTTTAAATCAGTCAGTGCTTGAGGTAGTTCTTCAACTGTTTTACCGTCAGAGCGTTGACTTAATTCTAAGAGCTAGGGAGATCAAGCAGCCACGTTAGTTTAAAAAAACAAAACAACAGCTTTGAACGTGCATCAAGCTTCTGGTGGAACATGTCTTTGACATCTACATTAACTACAAGGGTGAAACTTCCTGTAGCAATGTTTTAAGGGGGACAGGGACGCACGGGGAAGAATGGACACCTTTGGGATTGACACTCAGGTGTCCATCATAAAGAGTTTTTTTTCATCTTATATGTGTACACTAATAAAGGGTTGATTCAGATGTGTAATGTACTGTTTCTAAGGCAGACCGTTTTGGAACTCGCAGACAGATGTTTGCCTCAGCTTACAAAGAACCGAAAAAAAAAATGAAAGATAGGGAACAATTCTAGGTGTTCGTCATCTAGAGGGGTCACTTAACCCTTAAAGTTCCAACAGTATCAGCATCAAACTTTCCTTATCAGTAATATCGAAGCTTTATAAAACAAACTGGTGACAAGAATTAAGGACATGATCACTCAAGCTGCATCTAATTGAAACTTCAACAACCTCTTCCTACTATACTTCTTAAGGGAAGCATACAAGGGCAACAAATGATAATTTAAAGTTTGATTTAGTTCTTAAAAGAATTTACAGAGAGTTGACGGTAAAACGTCTGGGAATTTGTTTGTTTGCGACCCTGACCTCCGAATATGTGGCTTCTGGGTTCAAAATTCCGTCCCTGATAACTTACTGAACTTGTTTGAATGCCCTAAGAGGGATCTATGGGCGTTAGTTCTGTTCCAAAACACTTAAGTTTCCCAAGCGTGTGGTATCCCTCCTCGCTTCTATTACTATGAGAACGAGTGTCTCCAAACTTGAGTTGTATGACTGGAAGTTTTGTCTTGTCCGTAAGGACACCGCTGTCCTCACGCCATTTATCATCGTTTTTATCACAGTTGCAAACATAATTCTTATAGCCTGCACATGTGTTGTTCATCCCACATGCGCATTTACCACTGCCGGGAGTAGCCCCTCCCCAATACAACATCTTAGAAGAACTGCGAGACACCCACCATCCAAGCTTTTTCTCACTTTTGTTTAAGGCCGATCCTTTACACTCATACTTGATGAACTGTTCACAGTGTGACGAGACATTGGTGAGACTCGCGAGCTGAGACAGACTCGCTCCTGTGTAAGAGATGTCACGTGAGTAGCTGCCTGGGCCTTCATAATCCTTCACCAATGTCCTGCTTTCACTGTCGTGACTAATGACAGTCACGCCAACGCCATCCTTGTCTTTCATGTCACAAGTCACGTCATACATAGGTGGCAAGCCTCCCTCACCGTCAGGATCAATGACGTAACTTCCACTCGCCGCTACATGGTCCAGTTTTTTAAGATGGCTGCACGATTTTGCTAAAAGGAATTGAATAATTGCATCACAGATCAAGTTGTAGTCATGCTGAAAGCTGCAATCCTTTTCGTATAAACTAATCTAGGAAACAACTGAATCTGCATATTTTTTTCTTTTTGATAATTGAAAAAAATGAATAAATAAACTTTAGTTATACGGCACAGTAATAATTTCGGTCTAATCTACGAAAGAACATACGACAATGACATGCTAAGAAACAATGGTTTAAAAGTTTTATTACTAATACAAATGTCTGGATATTTTGTCAAGTTAACTACAAAAAAACTTAACAATTAGGACCAATAGAGTTATCTGTTCATGGGACTGAGCCATACCTATCCGGTCGCAAAAACTTCCGATGAATCCTTTAAGACATCTGCAACGAAATCCTTTTCTTGTGAATCCAGCTTGGCATGTGCCATTGTTCAGACATGGACTACTACTGCAGGGATTCTGAAGAAAAGATAGACGAGTTAATGTCACAACGATAGTCCAGGTCCAGTAATGGTAACAATAACAATAACGAGCGATGCATTGTTCTCTGATTGGCTTAAATTCCCCAGTTTTTCAATATCAATACAATTGACGTCCCAGTGCAGATCTTTTCAACTTGGACGGAAGATTTCACACGCTATGAGAACATGGAATTGCTAAACTACTGGCTCACAACAAAAAAAAAACAAGGAGAATAGACAAAACTACTACTCCTGGAAATACATCCGCAATGTGCAGGATGTCTGCTTGAATAAACGCCCTTCATATTCTAAAAATTCCATGGATCAGCCAAATGATTTAAAGAGGGAGGCTCTTTGCATAACGGTATTTACTCTTGGAGCTGAAAAATATTTTAAATATGATATTAAGAATTATGTAGATATCGGAGGTTGTTTAAAACCGCAGAGGCCGCGTCGATCTGCATAATTCTTCTTATCATACACAGTCCCATCGAATAAATGTGGATAAATGGCAATAAAACTTGTTTTCTTCCTTTTTCTTTTATTATACCAGGCATCCAGATCTACAAAATGAATTAAAATGATGATGACAATAATACATGGAAATAATGCTAGCAGTGATTATTATGATGCTGATGATAGTGATAATGATGACGATAACACGAATAATAAACAATTATTGGATGAGGTTTTTGTGATATCCGGAATAATTAAGGTCGAGGTAAGTGTTATCAGCAGAAGCCGAAGGCTGAGGCTGATAACCCTAACCGAGACCTTGATTATTCCGGATATCACAAAAGCCGAATCTAATAATTGTTTTATTATACTTTATCTTCAAGTAATTTCTCAATTTCTTGCTGGCTCGATGAAGCGAATCGAGAAGCCATTCTTGCTTCGCTGTCCGCGAACTTGACATTGCTGTCCGTGCACTTGACATTGCTCTTGGAAATCATGCATTGCGCGCGCAACCTACAGATTATTCATTAATCTGTAGGTACAGATTAGTGAATAATCTGTAGGTTGCGCTGTTTCCCAGGATTAACTGTAGGCTTTTAGCCGATGAGAAGACAGATGGTGACTACAGTGTATAATAATGAAACTAAAAGTGACAATGATCCTAATAATGATGATGTTGGTTCTCTATTTTTGTTTCTATAAACTAGCAAATTTACGGAAATAACAAAATTCTCCGATTATCCTAAGTATTTTAGTCATAATTCCATCACTTTAGAATAAAGCTGGTTTTACCTCGATTGCCAGATAAGTGTGCGCAGCTTTGTACTTTAGTGCAGCAGCAAATTCATTTTCACCAGTGACATTATTCAGTTCACATATGGTTTTACCACCTATTGATGGCCCCATATTTATGGACACGCAATTGGGCTCCATATAACACTTCACTCGACAGCTCCCTTCGTTAAGCACCTCTGCCCTGCTGATTAAGTGGCCCTCTATGACTGTGTTGGGTGTTGGTTCCTTGGACATAATAATGCGGCATTCCTCCACAGCTGGTATAAATAGACAGTATATATTATGGCCCGTTTGAAAAACATTAAAAGTAAAAAACAAAATGTGATCAAAACGGCGCCTTTGATAGCTAATGGAGGATATAGTGATCTTCTGTCACAAAAGTTCCTTTAGGTTTTAATAATGTTATCTTATATGACTTTGTTATTTATTAATGAATGTTTAATAAATATAGTGCGCTTCAGTTGTTTTAAAGGATAAAAATTTAGAAATGCGACGGCTATAAGCTCTAGTTGCATTAGTCCACCCTAAAACTGTTTTCACCCACATGAAGATTCATTAGATTAGTCAGTCTAAAGATTTCGTCCTCGATAATGCAGCGCGGAGCGACATTAATATCAAGCACAATAGAACAATTTGTACTTAAGAGCATAAATTTCTTTATAAAGCGTCGACCTTTTTCCAAATAGTAGCGATTTCGGGCTCCCATTTTCCCTCCAGTTTTATACACATTAATTTTTACAGGTTATAATTTGGTGTGAAAAGTTGATCGTTTTTCTTTTCTTTTCGCCACTACTTTGTCCAAAGTCACTAAACATTGCACTTTTTATCGATAGTAAGAGAGAAAAGGCCTCTAAACCATCCACTATTATTAAAAACTGAATAATTGGATAATGCAATTCTAGAGCTCTGATTGGGTTAGTCAACATGGTATATGAGCCATGCTCTCCAAATGTGGCAACTGTACGCGTCTGCTCAAAATTTAAAAACAAGCTGAAAATCGGTTGTTTTACAAATAAAGTCGGGAAGAATTTTCGAGATTTTGTGGGCGTTTTTAATAAAACAATTATTCCACTCTTGCTTGGGAGTATGAGATAATTTTAGCCCACTCGGCGCTACGCGCCTTGTTGGCTGGAATAATTGTTAAATATCAGTGATATGCAAGTTACTTATTAAGCTGTTCAAAGGATGACTTTCCGAGCAGCGGAGAGTTTTTTAAATTTGCATGGTGAAACGAGAGCATTGAAGTGAAAATTTTTAACTCGAACGTTTATACGAGTTTTTAAAACAAATCGAGTCCGAATTCAATTTCTACTTGCATTCGATATACTGTCTGCCGTTAGTTCACCTGCTAACTTGTTAACGAAGGGTTTGTTTTCAGAAACGCTGGAAGCTCAGATATTGATTTTAAACTGGCTTGCTCTGGGAATGAGATAAAAGTCTTTCTCACCTAAACTTCTTGAATACTGCATTGCAAGGAAAAAGCAAACGACGAAAACAACATATGAAGTTCCATTTGCCAGCTTTCTGACCAAAACAGCCATTATTAATATTCTCTGGTCCGCACAATATTTAAAGTGGTCCTTTAAGCGTCTATAATTTGACGTATGTTAGAACTGTTAAGGCAAATAAACAAAGCGCGATTGGTTTAGGTGCGGCATTATTAAATACTGGGTCACATCGACCGGCGAGTTTAGAAATTAATCTTTCGTATTGAAATAATAAAAAATGATGTGTATAATTTTGGTAGCAAAGTCATTTAATCTCAAGGAAACATCTACTTTCAAATAAGGCCGTTTTAAGTATCACTAACTTCCATAAATTCCTAGCTGATAAATCTAAAACGTATAGTACTGTAGCAGCTTCTATAACTTTAAACCAATTTTTCACCTAAATTTACTACCTCGTTTTATCATTTTAGAACGGATTTAAATTTCTCGTGCTCACTGCCAATCTCGTGCCAAGATAACCTGTGGCCAAGGAAAACCATGTAGCCAGGAATATTGTTTTCGTCTATTGAAGAACCTTTTTAATTTCAGTCCCAAGATATTTACTTGTCAACCAACAGGATAGACAGAATAAGTATTTTAATTTAAACGTTTGCTTTTTTAAAAAGCAGGTGGTACGGTTCATGCATAAGTCTATGTTAACACTGCTTTATATGAGATGCGCCAAAGGTTCTAAAACCTCGACATCAAACCGTTCATAATCAGTGCATTTTAGCTCATTTACTAGAACATAAAAAATCATTTTTCTTGGAATAATAGCTAATATTTACATTGCTTAAATTTGACTCATCAGTACTGTACTGTGTTAAACATTCGAAGGAAATGAAAGATTAGGCTTTTGTTTAGTTGATTGTAGGTGAAGGAAGTAGCAGGTGGAACCACTGAGTGTTAACAATTCAAAATTAAAGTGTGCAATGTAACCTTGAAGAGACAGTGGTCACTAACTGGTCGTTTAAAACTTCTGCTAAAATCTAGCCAAATTTCACGGCTGATAATAGGTATGATCCCTCATGTCATAAGAGAAATTTTAAGATTCACGTTTACGGTAATTACCGGCACGTCAACTTCATATGTCATGTGACCTAGTTTTCCCTTTCCTTTTTCTTGTCATCTACTCTTTATTATGTGTACAAAAAATCTTTTTTTCTTCTTCTTCTTTTGTGTGTTGATTATTTTTTAATAAAATCATTAATTTAATGTCAGGTTCATCCAAAAAAATTATTTAGGACACTTTTTTGCTGCTCATCTCCTAGTTTAGGAAATTGCCAACTTGAATTTCGCGTTTGCCATTTGCATGTTATTTAACTTGATGCTAAATCTGACTGTTTATTGACTATTTTCGAGTCCCCCATAATATATTATAGATCTATTTGACCCCGCAAGTTTTGAATAAGTAATTGTTTTCAAATACAGTGAAACCTCTATTATGCGGACCCCAGTTCAGCGGACACCTCTATTAAGCGGACGCGAACACTAAAATAAGTTGTATTTGGCTAATTTCTTTTGTTAAAAAGAAACATCTATTAAGCGGACACCGGAATGAATTGACAATAGTAGTATTAGATTACGTCCTTGAATACTTGAACGCTGAATAGCTTCTTTAACAACATGCAACTTTATCACAGTACAGAGTAACAGTTGAATGTTGATCGTTAACAAACATTGCGCAATTTTTACAACCTCTATTAAGGGGACACTTGGGAAGATCCCGAAGGTGTCCACTTAATAGAGGTTTCACTGTGTTCTTGAAATATGCAGTCCGTCAAAGGAAATTTAACAACAATGGCTTAAGGAAAATTGGGGGGAGGGGGCAAACAGCGTGTATCATGGGGGATTTAAAATGATTTTAAGAATTTGAATACAATTGAGCGTCTTCACGATGGCCATATTGGTGTCCCAAAACAATGGAACTGAGGCCATGTTGGTGTTTCAAACCAGTCCTGTGGGAGTTGAGCTATTTTCTTATGCAAACGCTTTCCTTTGTGGTGCGGCCGGGGCTTTCCAACCCTGACTCCGTTAGAGACAAAAGCTTTAATTTTAGTACCACGCCTTATTTGTAACCTTTAAAGAGGAAATTAAATATTTCCAAATATCACCACCTCTTCAACGCTAGGAAAAATTCTTCTTTAGATTCAGACTACCGCCGCCTGGTTAGTTCAAGTGGGAGAGCACCGGTTTGCTGACGGGATGTCACCGGTTTCAAACGCCGGCCAGACCAGCACTCAGGGAAAGTGCTACCTTTGTAATAACATCTGCAAACGGTTAGACTTTCTAGTCTTCTCGGATAAGGACGAAAAACCGTAGGTCCGTCTCACGTACAACACTTTGGATCTTCTGGGACGTAGAAGAAACCACACCCCTGTTCGAAGACAGTAGGGCACGTAAGACCCCGGTGGTGTCGCTAACATTTCCTGGACTGGGTGGGTTATCTGTAAGGAGACTTAATACAAGGATAACTTCATGTTTCTCCATCGGTTGTCGTAATGGCTACCTGTAAACAGTGAAAATATCACTGTTGATTTACTGAACTAAAGAAAAAGCTCAAATTTTAAAAATTAAATTATAACATTTCCTTAATTTCCTCGAAACCATAACCTTCCTCTGTCATAAACTGTCACTCAAGCAGAAACACTTTGTCGCTTTGTCCTGCTGAATTCGGTTAATAATTGCCTAGTTTAAAAAGAAAGACCCTCACGAGCACGTAAATCTCTTTATTATTGGTTTGTGCTAGTTTATTTTTCCAGGTGTTACTTTTAACAAATTAAAACGTTTAATGAAATTTGTTTAAACATAATGTAGATGAATACACACGACTATTTATCGTTTTGTCGAGAACTTGCGCAAGTTGCATTAGGGACAGTTGCTGGAAATTCCAAATAAAAATGAGAAATCTTTTTTCACCAGCTAAATGGTAGTTCGCCATGCCCACACACGCATTTTAAGGGCCAACACGCTGTTGTCTTAAAACTCGTGATGAGCACGCATTAACTAAAACAAATTCTAAAAACTCAGAGGAATCCGATCCCGATTCTTTCAATAAAAATCTGCCAAATTCGGTTTAACCCGATCAATTGAAAGGAAAATTGACCTGCGTGCAATGCAAACATTGGTTGATGCTGTTTCATGGTGCAGCAGCTTCCTAAAAAGGTTTAACAAGAGGTTAAATTAATGTCTTAAAAATGAGTCAAATTCTCTTGTTTCTCGTTTATCTCTCGGTACTGTTTTATTCCTTGAAGGTCACGGGACTTTCGTGTCGACAAGAGAGATCCAAACGTGGGTTTGCTCTCTTCTACAAAAACTACAGTTCTAGCTTCAAAGATGACAGTCCCGAATGCGTTAGTTTGTGTGTTAATGATCCAAACTGCATGAGTTTGAATTACTGGCTAAACTCGAAGCAGTGCGAACTTAACACTCACTCGCGAGAAACTTGCCCAGCCTGTTTTATGCAAGCATCTTCCATCTACATGGGAATGGCTAGATATCCAGGTAAGGCTGAAGATTAGTATGTACTTTGAAGACAGAGCTGATTGCATTCATGTGGGCAATAATTGATAGGGACTAAGCTTACGGTAGGTGCTGTCAAAACGATCACCCTAAGCAACCAGAAAATATCAACCTTTTCATCACTACTGAATTTAAAAACGAACATAAAAGGTCACCAAGTGAAAGAATCAAATTTGAATATACTTTTACTGACAGGTGTTAACTATGCGTAACTGCTCAAGTTTCTTTTAGAGCGAGAACAATCTGAAAATGCATGATTTGTCCTTTCCTCGAGGAACTAGAGAGGGCACATTTTTGTTCTGCTGCCCCAAGTTGTACCCTAAATAGACTGCAAAGCAGCTTTACTTTGGTGTTACGCAAGCTCTTGTCGAACGAAAGAACTGAAGCGAGAGTGAAACAAAGCCTAAGCTCCGGCCTTGCGAATAGACCTTGTAACGGTTTTCAACGCCATCTTGACGAGTAGGCAAACGCGTGAGAAATTACAGTGTTTGTAAGAGAATCTAATGTCGAATAACTTCCGTAGAACGGCTGTCTTTTCAGTAGAATCCTCAGGAGTGAAGCTTTGGTTTACAAATCATATTTGTATAGGTAATAGCACGATTTGTAGTGATATTTGGCATAAATACCACGAGCGATATTTCGAAATTGTTATACGTAATTTCACGAGCCGCTAAGCGAGTGAAATTTGAGACAATTTTGAAATATCACGAATGGTATTTATGCCAAATATCACCTACAAATCATGCTATTATTTGTTTATACTACTACCCACAAAAGGGTTGTAATTTTCACATGTAGGTATTTCATATTAAGCTGAAATACTACTGCTCTAAGCCAAATTTCTCATGTAGTAGTATAATAGACCAATTCAGCTAACTCAATGTTGTACCCAATTCAAATCTCCCGGGGATAAGATTCTTTGTGTATTGTATTTGCATTACAATGTGGCTTTCACATTTAAATGATATGGAAATTCCTGAAACAAAATATTTTATTCCCAAAGGGTTTGAATTGGGTACAACATTGAGTTAGCCGAATAGGTCTATTTTCAGAACAGCCGTTCTACGGAAATTATTCGAAATTAGATTCTCATACAAACACTGCAATTTCTCACGCGTTTGCCCACTCGTCAAAATGGCGTCGAAAACCGTGACAAGGCCCATTTGAACCGGATTTTGACTTTGGAGAAAAAAAAAACGGTTTTCAGTCCCAATTTCCAAATTGAAGAGGGTTGAAACCATTAATCTTAGTAAACATCCTGAAATGACAAACGTCGCAAATATTGAATTTTTTAAAATAAATATATTTTCCGAAGATGAATGAAATGACAGAATTTTTCCTCTTAATTTTATAAACTATTTGATGATAATGCTAATGAAAACATCGAGACGCCAGATTAAAATTTTTAAGCTGTTAAATACTTTAAAACCTCTTAGGAAACCGAGCCGTCAAAATGATGAATGTTATTGGTCCGTTTGCAAAAAACAAAAAAACCGAGAATCTTTTGTTTTCAGAAACATTGTAATTTGCAATCTTCTTCCAAGTGTCCAGGTTTGACTATTAACACTGTAATGAAAGAGGGAGCGAAAGGAAAGAAAAAACCAAGCGTCTTTCCTTCATATTTATATATATTTCCTTCCCATTACTCGCTTTGTGGTCTTCTTCATCATACTCCATTAGCGATTCTCTGTTCAGCTTGGGGAATGGATGCTAATGTACAATTTTTTTGTCAATCATTCAGCAGGATTTTCAAGAGTGATCTTTCCAAAGTCATGCGCAGATTTCAAGAATTCTAACCCAAAAGCTTTGAGCGGTAGATATGTAATCGACCCAGACGGTGAGAAGGCTCTGTCTCCATTTACAGTTTACTGTGACATGACCGACGAGAATGGTGTTGGCGTGACAATCATCAGTCACGACAGTGAAAACAGGACATTGGTGAATGATTATGAAGATCCGGGCAGCTACTCACGTGACATCCATTACACAGGAGCGAGTCTGTCTCAGCTGGCGAGTCTCACTAATGTCTCATCTTACTGTGAGCAGTTTATCAAGTATGAGTGTCGCCATTCTTTGATGCTAAAAGAATCAACTGCTTGGTGGGTGTCACGTGATTCCACTAACATGACCTACTGGGGCGGAGCTAAGCCAGGAAGTAATGAGTGCGCATGCGGGGCGAACCAGACATGTGCAGATCCAAAATATGGCTGTAACTGCGATAAAAATGACTATGTATGGCGTGAAGACAGCGGTCTCCTCACTGACAAAACATATCTACCGGTTAAACAGCTGAGGTTTGGTGATACTGGAGGTCAGGGAGAAGAAGGGTATCATACCTTGGGCAAGTTTAAGTGTTGTTGAACTGGAAACTGATAGTTACTCTGTGGAGCAAAGTAGAAAGCAATAATAATAACTATTCGGTGGAATACAGTGTAAACTTTTAATAAGAAAATGAAAGTAGAGTAAGTGGCTCATTGCCAATTCGCCCGCCCCGTGTAAGGTAATTCAAGACATTGGAGCGTGAATTCCTCACTGTGGACTGCGGACAACAGCCACTAGATTCCGGATTCCATGTCAGTGTCAATTGGATTCCGGATTCATTGAGCTGGATTACGGGCCTCCTAGCCTCGGATTCCGGATTCCACGAGCAAAGATTTCCCGGATTCCCGAACATGGGGCGAGCCAATGCTATTTCAGTTTTTTCCAGTGTTCATGACCATTTGCCATTTTGCAAGCTACTTGTATAAGAAAAATTTATTTAATGTAGTTCAATAAGCTCCAGAAAATTTGCAATAGGTGAAGATTCAATATTCAGACCAGCCTAGCTGATACTAAATCACAAACCACAATAATTGTAGCCAGGTGATATATGATGATAAATATTCAGTTCAAACTAATTGATTTTCATCTAATTCCTTCGAATTTTTGTTGATACATCTCCACCCTCTGTGATTGCCGTCGTATGTCAAACCAGGCTAGCTCCTTGATCCGACATCTCTTTTCACATTTTCTTAGTGTAGAAAAAAAGTTGTTCCACAACTCTCGTTTCCCGTCTCAGCGCCGAGCGCAGCTGAAAGGCGTTTTTCGTGACAAAGGAATCCGCTGAGAAACGTGAGCGCGGGCTGTAGTTATTTCTCTTATATTAGTTCTTCACCGACGCGAGACATCTTTAATTAAGTTCACACAAGGATAAGTACGAAAAATTGGTGCATCGATGCGGTAGCTCAGGTGGAAGGGTGACCCTTCTACCCAGAAAAAAACTTTTTTCTCTCACATAAGACGGGACCAGATCGACAATCAATACACTGATACACCAGAAAGCTTTCTTAGTGCCTTTGGTAATAAATTCTGAAAAACATCTATTTTTAACTGTGAGTCACGTGACGATAATCGGTCAGTATAAAACACGGACTGCGGACCACGGACTGCGGACTGGGTATAAAATATGGACTAGGTATAAAATGTGGACTCCGGACTGAGTATAAAACACGGACTGGGTAAAAAACGCGGACTACGGACTGTATAAATAAAAACAGCTTTAGAAAAGTAAAACTGAGAGAAATGGAAAGCGGACTGGCAAAAACAGTAGTCCCAGCTTTAACATTCCCTTGGCTGTTCACGTAGTCTATTCTTCCCACGGAGAAGGAAGGTTATGCCGGTACTCAAGGCAACTGATATTTAACTCTGAATTTTATAAAAAGAAGGAGTTAGAAGAGATTTCAATTTGCAGTTTTAAACCAATAAGAAGCACCGAATTAAAAAAAATTGTATTGGTGTTAGTCAGATCAGTAAAATTCTTATCGGATGCCACAATTCCGTATGAGGACTGAATGAAGAACTCAGACGAGAAGGTCAATGTAGGGCATTCCGCGATGCACAAAAGCGGTATTTAGTGGGGAGGGCAAGGGGGGAGGGATTACTCACATACGTGAATAATAACACCATTAACCGAAATGAGTCATCCAACGTTATATTCCAAGCGATGATTATGATGACATGATTTACACCCTGCTCCTGATCCCCGGAGGGTTTACTACTGGGAATTCTTGGTGGGGGTGTGGTGCGCGGTTCTCCGAATCCTGACCTTATTGCAGACCAAAAAATGTTATTTTCCACACCCGTTTTCAGTCCAGATCTCTAAAATCCATACCCATTTTCGGACCTGGCCTAATTTAGCCTGTTCCACGCTCTCAGATAGTTGGGGAGACTCCCCAGTTTTTTCCGTTTTATTTTCGTGTTCGCGCTTTCTCAATTTAGCGGACCCAAGTATCTCGGAGCCTGGAACAGGTTAGGTCTAATTAGGCAAAAATTGTGTCATCATTACCAAGTTAGAGCGGAAACAAAAAAATTCTCCAAATGCATTTCGAATTCGCGCATTTCTATTTCGTTCTTATTCATTTGGAATTGAAACGATAAATACGTCCATTTATGTACGCTCCCGTAGTTCCCTCGAAAACCATACCCGATTCCAGACCAAAATGGGCAAAGTGTTCTCAGACCAAAAAGGCCCAAAATCCCTACCCTTTCCTTATATAAGGGAGTACCCCCCTGATTCTGACCCCTTTCATGATTGACAAGGTCTAAAAATGGGTGAAGAAAATAGCATTTTGATCCGGCTCATGATTCAGAGAACCGGGCGGCACACCTCCACCAAGAATTTATAGGGGTATTTACAACTTTAACTCACATGTCTCGCTATTTAGCGATCTTTTGATCTTATTTTTCCTTACCTAGAACCAATTAGCACCGTTTTTACCAAAGTAGTCCGTAGTCCGTATTTTATACCCAGTCCGCAGTCCACAGTCGGCGTTTTATACCTAGTCCTTGTTTTATACCCAGTCCGTATTTTCCAGTCCGCTTTTTATACCTAGTAGCAGGGCTCGACACTAACACTTACCCGTTCACCACTGGAAAGTAATATTTCTGAGTGGAAAGTAAAAAAAGCAAATGAACCGAAAATACTTGCCCGATCGGGCAACTACTTCTAGACAATGCGGGAAAGTATTTTTTTTAAACAGCCAAATAAAAAAGAAAAGAAAACGAATGTGTTTAGTTACTCAAGTGAACTTCCTTGCTAAACGTCTAAGTTTCGCATTTTTCTATCTCCGCCATCTTGGAATCGTCAGTGACAGATCGAGAAACCCTGGGTACGAAATAGATGATGCAATCGACCGTGCTCGCCATTTTGCCTTTCACATGTGGACTAGTCAATCAATCAATCAATAATCTTTATTTATACACGATAAGTATTTAAAGCGACGCTTCGCTTGAGTGTTTTAAGCGCGCTGGTGAGGTTAACAAAGGAAACTCCGAAAAGATTGATGAAGTTGACCAAGAAAGCAACAAAGGAGGAGAACAGACTGAAAATCAAACAGCTGGAGCATATTCGCCACGATGGCTTAAGGAGTTTCTATGGCTGCAATACAAGGAAGAACAGAGTCTTAATTTTGTTATGTTTCTACTGTGGATAGTGGAAAATATGATTCTTTCATTTTTGGAAAGTAAATTTTCATATCTACTTTCCACAGTGGCAAGTTATGTCAAAAGTTAGTGTCGAGCCCTGCCTAGTCCGTATTTTATACCCACTCCGCAGTCCGTAGTCCGCAGTCCGCAGTCCGCAGTCGATCTTTTATACTGACCGTGACGATAACCATCTCTGGTCACGGATGCTCTCGTTTCGTATCAAGCATTCAACTTTGTTTAGTCTGCATCAGACGCTACAAAATATTTCCACTGTGTGCGTATTCTTATATTACGAAGCTCAAAAGATTCAGAAACAGTTTGAGGGTATTTATTTTTATGATTGGATCGGAACGATGAAAGCAAAAAGCAAAGAAGAGACGACAAACACAAGAACAAAACTCAACAGTCTGTTTTCCGCGTCAGCTTTGCTTTTGTCTGTTGTCTGTTGCATTGCACTTTTTCACGTGGAACTCAAAATTCAAGAACATCATCGAGTGATATCACAGTCAGCAACATTCTGTGACCAGATGGAGAAGGAAATCCTTCAGAAAGTACAACAGAATTACGAAAGATGGCAAATAAATAAAGGTAGGAACTCAGACGGTGCTTGGCACGAGACACAAGGTAAGGTGATCAGTTTCGAACGCCGGGGGGAGGACTCCCTTATCTAGACTACCGTACTGAACACGCTGTGGGATAGATCTTGAATGGGGGATTTTTTTCATCTGTATTGCACGTGTTTTTTAGTTGGGTGCTAAGAAATGAAAAATGTAAAAGCTGAACTTCCTATTAAAAAAGTTTTAATGTACGGCACAAAAACCTGTTCTAAATTGACGGAAGCTTCCCCATCCCCCCTTGTCTTGTCAACTTACCTATCCGATCCGAGATCGACTAACCAATAGATTAGTTAACGGTGATACAAGTGTCTCTATATGCCTGGTATCGCGTCTGGCAGTACAGCTCATAAACACAAAATATTGATAGAAAAAATGCGTGTTAAACTGTATTTCATTAACCTAGTTGAAAACAATCGTGGAAAGATCCATCGTTTCTTCTTAAAAATGGATGCTTGCCAAAGTTAGGTTAACCCTTTATCCTCCTTGACAGGCATATTAGTTGATACCGCGCCAAGATCAAGATGATTTCCGGGTTATTAAAATATGGCCTGTCAGTTCCATTCTTAATCTTTCTACACATAATTTAAAACACAGAACTGTGAGACATTGGACAGGGGACGTACAAGTTTATTTTTGTTGGGAGGGGGAGGGGGGAAAGTGGGGGTGATACCTCCTCCAATTCTTTCCTTATTTACTCCGGCCAGGGACATGGGTTCTTGCTCCTGCCCAGGGATTTCTTTACCGTGACATGGTTTCAAGTGTTCGAGAGTGCTAACAAGACTGTGAATTATTGAAAAGAAGTATCTACATATTTGTGTTTTCAAGGTAATCATGAGAACATCTCAAGACAGAAGCGTTCGTCACCAACTAATTCGCTGCAACAGTCAGTCCAAATGGCCGCTGATGTGAAACTGCTGATCAAGGAAGAACTTCGACTTCTGCAGAAACAGGTCTGTGCCAAAGATGAAACGCTCTGTCGATCAGGACCAAAAGGAAGCCGAGGACGACGGGGAAGACCCGGTCCAGAAGGACCTCCTGGAAAACATGGGCCCCTAGGGCCTCAAGGAGCAATGGGCGTGAAAGGTGATCTAGGACTGCCGGGTGACCCGGGTCCCGCGGGACCTGTAGGGCCTCCGGGAGAAAAAGGTGTTAAAGGTGAGCCGGGTAAGTCTATCTCTGCTCCTTCTCTGCTGCAGCCTCCTGTTGAAACAACCGTCAATGAAAGTCAGACAGCCATCTTCAAATGTACAGTGGATAGTAATCCGCCAGCACATGTCACGTGGTCTAAGCAGAACTCATCTCTTCCGGTGGGACGTCACGTTGTAGATTCCAGTGGCGCTCTGATTGTGAATGACGTTAGAGCTGGAGACGAAGGATTTTTCAGGTGCAGGGCTGAAAATTTCCTGGGAAGCGTCAACGCTACAGCGAAACTAACAGTTCAGTGTGAGTTTTCTTTATCTTAAATCAAGTTTTTAAGTTCTTCTTAGTTTCTAGAGGTTGATAAATTCTTTTAGGAACGCCTCACTTACTAAAGGAAAAAGAGGAAAATCGTATTCCGCAGGGGCCTCTTGGTGATAGCGTGATTCAGCATTACCGCTAGACGCCTGATCATCAGAACTTCGAGTCTTGGTTCTTTATTGTGTTGTATGCGTATTGCTCAATAACGAACGCTTAGGAATGCCCTACATAAAAACGCACTATGGATTAAAAGGGCCATAAGCGAGCATACCATCCTTAATAAGGGGGAGCGCTTAAAGTCCCAATTGCATCAAACTATAGGAGACCGTGGGTTGAAGACCAGCAGTGTCGGAGCATGCAGCATCGTACCAAATCTTGGGATCACATATTTAATACTGAATGTCTATTGAAGTGTAGACAGGTTTTTATGTTTTGTTTTAGATGCTCCCAAAACTTTCTTGTCGTCCAAGAGATTAATAGCGGAAGAGAAACAAAACGTCACCATCTCCTGCACTGCTAGCGGTCAGCCGCAACCGAAAATCACGTGGTCTAAATCATTCGGAAGTTTGCCTAAAGACAGAGCTGAGGTGGTTAATGGTACCCTAAAAAT